GCGGACTAACTCCGGACGAGCTGATTAATCATGACTTATGGTGGACAGGTCCCGAGTGGCTGTCTCACGATCATCATCAGTGGCCTATTGAGCCTAAACAAAGAAAAACATTTCAAAATGATCCAGAAGTGTCAATAGAAAAACGCGCATGTGTTTTGACTAACACACTTCCAGTAGAAGAGCATCCATTCGATCGTCTCATTAATAAATATTCGTCACTGCGAAAAATACAGCGCGTCGTTGCATATTGTAAACGTTTCATCCAGTGTCTGCGCAAAAACAAACGCTCTGATCATTTTACTGAATTTGAACTGCATGAGGCTCTTATGATATTGGTCAGGCGTGTGCAACAATCATCATTTAAGGAAGAGATACACCGTCTAAGCTCAGGTCAGGCGCTTCCAAAATCAATTAAAAGTTTGAATCCATATTTAGACGATCAAGGTGTTTTTCGAGTGGGGGGGTAGGCTTGCTAGATCAGATCTAAGTTTCGAAGCAAAACACCCAGCATTACTGCCGCGTAAACATCGTCTAACTCAGCTTATCATTCAGTGTGTACACAACGAAAATTTGCATCCTGGTTTACAAACCCTGCATTATTTACTTCTTCAAAATTTTTGGATTTTATCTCCACGACGTGTCATTCGTCAAGTCATATCAAATTGTTATCGTTGCTTTCGAGTGAAACCAACTCCTTATCAACCAGAAATGGCAGACTTACCAAGATCTCGCGTCACTCAAATTAAAGCCTTTCAGTCTGTAGGTTGCGACTACGCTGGCCCTTTTAATGTGACATTTAAGAGACAGCGCGGCGCGCGTACCACCAAAGCTTACCTGTGTCTTTTCGTGTGCTTCGCCACAAAAGCAGTACACCTGGAGTTAGCATCAGATATGTCAAGTCAAGCCTTTAGGAGCTCTCCAGCGTTTTATAGGTCGTCGTGGTAGATGTAATACTATTCATTGTGATTGTGGCACTAATTTCAAAGGAGCTGAGTCCCAATTAGCAAGCATAATGCAATCAGCGTGTGAAGCTGAACGTATTGAATTTCGGTTTAACCCACCCGGAGCTCCGCATTTTGGGGGACTATGGGAGGCAGGTGTGAAGTCGGTGAAGACTAGCGATGTGCCGTTCTCGAAATATTCTCCGGCGTGAGAATATTCTCGGAAACGCACTCGGAAATTTCCGATGGAACGAGAATTTAGGAGAACATTGGTGCTACCTTACGATTTAATTTTTTTTATACATGCTAATAGCTACATTGCAAAAATATGAACTGTTTTAGATGTTTTACATGTCAGAAACACTTATCGTTTCGTATATTTCCTATGTTTCCGAGAATATTCTCCGTAAGTTTCCCAAAATTCTCGAGAATATTCTTTGTGTACTGAATTCAAATATATTCGTCTGGAGTTATGATGATAATTAAGATAGAAAAAGAATCGAAAGGAGGTAGTTTGATATCAATATCAATAAAAAGTATAAAATGAAGTCCCTTCCCGTGTCTGTATGTTATGTACCTATGTATGCTTATATTTTTAAAACTCCTTAACGAATTTTGATGCATTGGAATTTTTAATGCACTCACAGCGCTATATTATTCTCATAAATTAAATAATGAGAAAATTGAAAAATTCGCAAGCGACCGCCGAAACTTGAACCCGGGACTGTGGATCACCGTTCCACCGCTCTACCGACTGAGCTACGGGCGCCTAGCGGACCCTGGTATTTAGTTGTAAAAACTACTACTAGATGTCGCTTAATCGTCGCTTCGAGACGAGCATCAAGAGATTGAGAAATTCACCAGGGTCCGCTAGGCGCCCGTAGCTCAGTCGGTAGAGCGGTGGAACGGTGATCCACAGTCCCGGGTTCAAGTCACGGCGGTTGCTTGTGAATTTTTAAATTTTCTCATTATTTAATTTATGAGAAATTTGATGCGTTTTTTTATATATTAAGTAAGTCAATAGGCAACTTTTTAAATATTATTCACCCCAAATTTTGACCCTAAAGGGGTAAATAGAGGTTAAAATTTTGTATGGAAAATCATGATTTTTAAATGCGATCTGTTTCAAAATTTGTGATTAAATCAAAGAGCTAAAAAAATTCATTACCCCCTTAAGGGGTAAAAAGGGATTAACTGTTTGTATAGAACTTTGTGTAGTTTGTATGGAAAATCATGTCTATTTAAAAATTTGGGATTAGATCAAAGAGCTAAAAGAAATATAAGCGTGTTTTAGGGGTTTTCGATGTTTAACCCCTAAAGGGGTAAAAAGGGGCTGGAAAGTTTGTACGGAAAATCGTGATTTTTAAATGCGATCTGTTAAAAATTTGCGATTTTATCAAAGAACTAAAAAATATAAGCGTTTTCCAGGGGTGTCTTGGCGTGTTTTTCGATTTTTAACCAGTAAAAAGTTTGTATGGAACATCGTGATTTTTATATGCGTTCTGTTTCAAAACTCTTAAGACACAAAACGAAACATGCCGGGAAAAACGACTTACAGCGGGTGAAACCGCTAACGGACTGCTAGTTTTTAAAATAATTCGTGGAATCAACATTGCAGGTACAAATTACTTGTATAGGTCAAGTCAGTATGTCTGCCTGCCTGTCTGTCTGTCTGTATGCCGCACCCTCATATCTTCGTTAGTTTTAGAGCTATCGACACGCAATTTGGTGAGAAGATAGATCGTGCTGACACAAATATAGAAATGTTGAGAAAAATAATATCAAATGTTTTTGGACCCCCCCATACAAGTGACAGAGGGGCAAATTTTTTTTTTCTTCTTTAACATTGAATAGGGGGAGAATTTTTTGAAACAAATTCACTAAAATGTTTCTGTCTTGTGATATTTGCTTCTAAAAGAGGCGTTTTTCAGCCATAATTTGTTTCAGCTGTAACACCTAATGTATTAGTCAAGAAATACAGGGTGTTAATTTAAATGCGTGCCAGCTTCAGGGTAGGTTAAGTATCGATTAAGGATGCCGTAAATTATATTGAATAAATCCCAGTCAAAAAACAACATTTCTTTACGGCTTCAATAAAAAAAATTTTTGCTTGATCGTTGACTACGAAACCCTATTTGTGGGCGTGTCTGACACGCTCTTGGCCGTTTTTTTTTATATTACTTCTACACATTTCAACATAGACTTTCATTGACTACATTTAAAATCGATACTGAATGTTCTCGGAAAATTTCGAGCACAATGGAAACTTTCCGAGAATATTCTCCGAGGAGAATATTTCGAGAACGGAAATTTTCCAGCCGCCCATCACTAGTGAAGACTCACCTCTACCGAGTAATCGGTGCTCAAATTCTAACATATGAGGAGTTGAACACACTGTTTGTCAAAGTAGAGGCAATATTAAATTCGCGACCGCTTTGTCCTCTAAGTTCGGACCCTAATGATCTATCAGTGTTGACACCAGGTCATTTCCTAACACTAGCACCACTCACCACAGTTCCTGCACCAGATTACACAAACATACAACTGAATAGACTGGTCCGATGGCAGTTACTGCAACGTCTGCATCAAGATTTTTGGTCTCGTTGGCACAGGGAGTACCTGGCTAACTTATCACAACGTTTGAAATGGACAAAATCTTTAGGTGATGTTGAGATTAATCAACCAGTAATTATTAAAGACGAGTGTACCCACCCACTGCGTTGGCGCTTCGGTAAAATTATTCAACTGTATTATGGACGAGACGGAGTCCCTCGGTCTGCTACTATCAAAACTTCACAAGGACAATTAAATAGACCTCTTGTGAAGCTTTGTCCAATTCCACCCGGTATTTAGGATAAAGCTTTTTCAATTTTTTATATATATATCCATTATATTATATATTTATATACTCAGTAACAATGTTATCATATATTTCTTTTAACCGACTAATAGACATCTTTATTTCATATCATTATAATTATAATATTATGCTATTGGTTGGAGTGAACATTTATTTCAAAATTATTTTCATATCCTGGCTCATCGAATTTCGCCAGCGGGGGGGGAAAATGTTAATGTACTTTGAATTTCCCGCTTCACCCTTACACTCATCCATTCAAAACCCTTTCATTCACTCCTTTCCAATCACTCACGATATCATTCGGTCACAAACCGAAATACCGGCACACTCGGAAGATCGCCACGAATCAGTGAAGACGTAACCAGAAAAGCCTCCTCAAAAACCATCAAGCCCGGCGCCGGCGCAAGAGGACCAAATAACATCTCAGCCCCGGGGCTACGTGCCTAACACCTACGCACCAGAAACAGCACGATAAACAGAAGATCAGACAGGAAAGTAAACCGGCCTTCAACCACGTGAGTTCCTATACCATTTCATCATTTCCCCATATTTAAAGTACCTCTGTATAACCATTCTCATCCAACAAGGCACCTGTGGTAACAGTCCACGAAGGGTTCTTAACAGGCAACAACAATATTCAACCTCTCAATTTATATTGCAATAATATGAAATGAAATGAGTGATAATGTTTTTGTAATTATTGGATGTTTATAACGCAATTTATAAGATGTATTGTAAAATAATGGACAATAGCAAGCAATATTTAAAGAACTTCGTAGCTTATGTAAGTATTTATTGTTTTTCTCATAGAGGGGGATGAAAAGTAGTATGTATCACTCGGGTATAAAGTTATTTATTCTCGGGCGACTTACATTGAATCCCTCGCTTCACTCACGACTCTACTTTAAAATCCCTCGCTACGCTCGGGATTTTACTCTAGAATCCCTCGTTCCACTCATAATTCAAACTAGCGCCCTCGCCCTAAATATATCACTTTATTCCCTTGTTATAAAAACTACTATTATGTCCCTCACATGTAATGTAAGCAAGCTACCGCAGGAAAGCACGAAACACACATAAAAGTTATGGCGCACACAGTTTACCTAAACGCCGCTGCCAATATTTTTATTCTCTCGCAATGAATCAGCGGTGACATCACACTGCAGATACAGGTCGCTTATTTCGCCCCTCGCTGCAAGGACTCGTTAGCTCAGTAGGTGAGAGCGCCGATATAAAACTAAGCTTGACCATCGGAGGGCGGAGGTTCAAATCCTTCACGAGTCGATCTTTTTTATTTTTTCTGCATTTCTTTGTTGTATTTTATTATTTTTTATTACCACCTTTTTTTGTAAATTATAATATAGGGTGTATTTTTATTAGTGGCGGATCCGTTAAGGGTGTGTTCTGTCAATGAAACTGAACAACTTTCCCCAAGGAACATAGGTCGAAATATGAAAAAAAAATTTGGCCCTCCCATACAAATTGACCCGGCCGGCCAAAATACTTAGTATGGGAAGACCAAATTTTTTTTTCGTATTTGGACCTATGTTCCTTGGGGAAAGTTGTTCAGTTTCATTGACAGAACACCCCATTAACGGATCCGCCACTAATAAAAATACACCCTATATATGTATATGGTAATTATAATATTTAATTCGATTGTCCTGTTACCTTGCTTGGTCGGCTTTTTGTGATCGATCATTGTGATAAGTTGAGACTCTAATGTAGATACAAAATTATGAGAATTTTGATCCTGATAGATTTTGCAACCGTGTGGTGCCGGTTTAGATTAGCATCACCCATATCTTTCTCGTGACTAAGGGATTTGCGAGTAGATGAATTGCAGTTTCAGGCGACAGGCTGACAACCTCAAAAGACTGTGTGTCACTATGGTCACACACAGTCTTTTGAGTGACTCTCAAACTTTTGTCAGACGTGGAGTATATGAGGGTTTTTTTACTGCCGTTTGTGCTCTGCCTACGCTGCAAGGTATATAGTGATATTATGTAGGTATGCAGTTTTAGCACCTGCTGTAACGTTTATATGTACTTTTCTTCCGCAGACTATACTTCCCCGAGACTCGTGGCAAGACGCAGTACCAGGTTGCTCAGCTGTGCGCACGAGGTTTCCGCTCAAGACCTGCGCGGGCGCAGACGACGCCGCTCGCTGCGTGACGTCATCACGCCACGCCCCGAGCTGCGTGACTTCGCGAAGTAACGAAAAACTGGCTATTACTATTACACTACTTTGGCTTACATTCCATGTGACTGTCAGTAATTTCAATTTTAGAATAGCGCTGTCCTTTTAGTGAAATAGACTTAGAAAAGGATAGGAGACAGCTATAGCATTTTTAGTCATGTCTTGATTAAAATGGCTATGATTTCTTCGAAATTTCGCACATTTTCCTCAGACAATTTGGTTGTAATGGTTGTAATCATCTCCCATATTTTTCTAAGCCTATTTTACTAAAACTAACAGCGCTATTCTAAAAATGGAAAAGAGAAAATTAATGGAAATTTTACAATAGGTTTCAGAGTAGGGTAAGTGAAAGTTACAGTTAAAGTACGGTGTGGTGTGAATAAGCCGTGTGTCGGTATGTATATGCAACTCGATTTCACGACGGAACTTCCTAAAAGATTCCAAAATTGAATCGAGTCTAAGGTTAAGTTTTGGCTTGATTGTTTTCTGTATTTTCATGACTAGCGTAGCACTGTAAGTGCCAAAAATACGGATGTGTAGTGTAACTACTAAATATGATCGCTGATTGTAAAGTGACTTAGGTACAAAAGTTCTGTATATAATTTTTAACTCAATTTCTTCGCTTCTCTTCTGTCTCTCTTCGATTCCGAGTATTAATGATCTGTTAAAATACCATAATTTCTAATAAATACAACAACGTAGAATCTCTAATCTAAACTTTTCAGTAAGTAAGTAGGTAATTTTAAAGTTTTAGTAATTTTATTTTCTGATAGTGTAGGTAGTTTTAAAGATCTGAACGCTGAAAGATTAATATTTTTTGGTGAAAGGACTAAGTACATTTAATTTGATGCTTATATAGATTATTTTGTTAGGTATTTATTATATTTATAACGGCCCATTATTGCATTTGTTTATGTCAAGAAATTACAGTATTTATACAATTTCTGAATATTTTTCTTTACTTCTGAAAATAGTTAAGTAGTCAAGGATCTCCATTACTGACATTTTTTTTCTCAATAGTAGACTACGCAGTGAACAATTTTAGTTTTTTTGGTTTTTAATAAGTTGAAATACAATTTTATAAGTTGCTGGTCTGTTCAATTTTTTTATCACTCGACAGTCTTTAACTGATTGATGGATGAGTGATATTTATATGGTAAATATTTATTATGTAATTTCGTAGTGATTATACGATGAATTTAAAATAATCAAAATATATTTCGTCCGTTGTTTTGTGAATACGAAAAAGACTTATTACCAAATGTGCCACTGTACTTAACAGAGGCCTCGATTTGCAAGCCTTATTATCTAAAAAGACATAGCTTTATTCATAAATGCTGTCTCCCTTAATCGTAGCCAGTGTGTATCAAATCGCACAAAACTGCTTTAGGGTAACTGTTACGAAAGCTTAAAGGCTAGATTAGCTTATAGATTTGGAGTAGCATAAACTAGTATTAGAAAAGACATCAACTTTATAAAGGGTGTGAAAAGAATTGTTACCAATATTTTAAGAGCTGAATCAGTGCATAACTAAACAACTTTTCCTAACAAACATAGGTATCAATGTGAAAAAGCATATTTTTGCTTGCTCTTCTTCTACGACGGAAGAAGAGCAAGCAAAAATGACGGAAGATGCAAATTCTTTTTTCGGTAGCTATGTTCCTTGGAGAAAGTTCTTCAGTTTCATGAGTTCATCCCTTAAAATTCAGGTTCACCACTTAAAATATTTGAAACTCTTTTTTTACACCTTATAAATATTAAATTAGTTATAATGGTCTACAGATTGTAGTGTATTTTAAGACTACAGTAATTTCAGATAAAGATTATGAAGATTTAATAGACGTTATGCTGTTTTAAACTAGGGCTTAGGTAGATAGCTCTCTAATTTGTAAAACAATGTTACTTTAGCACACAATAGTGTCGATTCCACAATATCTCGACTAAAATTAGCGCTGACAAGGCGCATTGCTTTAGTCGTCGCTTAATTTTGACATAATGCGTAAAATAAGTAAAACTTAAAATTATACACAATTTTATGTCCGTACATCTCTTACCCTTGTCTTATTAAGATTATTCAATTGAAAGTTACGGCGCTATTTTTCGATGAGATTTATCGAATCGACATTAACATTATTTTGCTAATTTATTTAAATAACGACATAAGTAATCAAGATTACCAAATCTTTGGAAGAATAATGGCCAGAAATAACGGAATTTTCATTTTATTGGTAATCGGATTGTATAAGCTTACCGTCCAGACAAATATAAAGCACCAATTTTAATTGTTTACTTGCACTTGTGCAATCTAGCGTCACGTTACGTCTAATGCATAATTTTATTGAAATAAAAACTTTTATTTAATAAACATGTCTCTAGACAACTTTTTTGTAATGCTGTGTTTTTAATAAAATTACATCAAATGCAATGATTTGTTTTATTTAACTTGTATAAAATAAACTCAAGGCAAAATATAACAAAATTATAAAGTATCTTAAAGAACAACAACCTCCACAGTACAAACTTTTGATATCTCTCTGCTACTCTCTTATAGTCTAGTAACTAACGTCACAGCTATTCGGATTGACCCATGAAGCTGAAAATCGGCATGTAGGTACTTCTTGACCTCCTGATCAAAATTAGACATGGAGCCCAGCGGCCCCCCCTCCCCCCCACTTTTCGGGATTTTGGGCCCCATAGGGGGCCTAAAGGGTAATTTTGAAGGCACAACAAGCTTTAAGTGAGATTTTACGGACGATACGAAATAAAAACTACCCTCTAAGTCAATTACTTCAAGACTTACACCTTGTAAAGGAGGGGGGGTGGTAAAAGGTTAAGGGGGGGTGGAGCCCGCTGGGCTCCATGTCTAATTTTGATCAGGAGGTCAAGAAGTACCTACATGCCGATTTTCAGCTTCATGGGTCAATCCGAATAGTTATAACCAGCTATTGACGTTAGTTACTAGACTATTAGGGCCAATGCTCATCGATTGGTATTAGCCGCGGGCTGTTTTCGAAAATTGGCTTGCTCGGATGCTGGGCTCATGCAATTTCGACTTTATTTCAATAATGATACAGTAAATTTTTTATGTGCCCAGCCCGTAGACTATCTCAGCGTCGCACGTATTGGCAAAATACGAAATGCCTAGCTCCATTACGAAAGTGATAATACTGGAAGTTTCTAATCTTCATATCACAGTGGTCTTCCCTTCGAGAGCTTTCTGCACATCTTTGAGTATATCCCAAAATACAAGCAATAGGACAGTATGAGGCGCCTGTCGCACGTATAAAGGGCCCATGCCTTTGTAAAATGCTGTTAATCCTTCCGTGGCTGCAGTTTTGCGTGCACAGTCCATTATTCCTGAGTAATGTTCGCCGGCGCCAGACTTGTCTATTGCTGGAGATAAAAAATAATCATCAAATAAAAGAGTTACTGATCTACGAACTATAGACCCCGTTTTGGTATAAGTGAGCGAACATAGACCGACATATAAAACAATATTTTGGGCCTCTCAGACAACAGAATATAATTATTTTAACTCTTATTTGAACCAGGGTTCCGAATATCTAAAACATACCCTATTGAACAACCGAACTTACATAATAGTGCGATTGTACATTTTGACACCAACAGCCATAACTATCAACTGCTGGACATGGGCCTCCACTTTTTGGGGGGTATTTGCTATACCTAGTTACTCATCGCTTAAGCCCAACAAGACTAGCAAAGAAGACGAATTTATCTGTTACTAGTAAAATTAGAAATAGGGAAATGCTATTAAAGCCGGCATCACATAGTACTCAGGTTATTTTCGTACACAAAAAAAATATAAACCTTGATTAAAAAGCCTAGTCATGATGACATCCATTGGACAGAGAAAGGCGGTCTTCACAATAGCCCCCAGGTTGCTGGCTACAAAAGCTGATTGGTATTTCGACTGCTGAAAAAGGTCGTTTGCTTTCATCCACTCTTTCGAACTGGAAGCGCAACACTATTTATAAAGAAAACAAATGTATGAAGAATGTGTCAAAAGCTACCATCTCGTTGGTTCAATAAAGAATGGGATTAGAAATGGCGGCGATTCCATA